TAATTATTGGTTTGTTTAATGAAAATGATGTTCTTTCCCTAGCCCCATTTTTTTCTGCAATTGAACAGTCAACTGAGCCACTGCAGTATTATAATCAATTATTAATCTCACTTACTGTAAAATAAACCCCACAGTACCCCATTAAATCTTTGTAATAAAGATAGACCAAACATATCCTAAAGAAGGGTATTCTAAGCTCAAATAATCTAAATAGATAAACTGATTTGGTTTGTCATGAATTTGCCTCAAATTTGACATTGACCCCAATTTTCTAATACATGATCTATTGTTATGTAACTTTCAATACTTATTTATGTAGAGTTACCCTTCAGGTTCACAATGGTTTTACACTGTTGTTAATTCTTAACATGAAGAATTTCCTTCCCCTAACCCCATTCTTTAAAATACGCCTATTTAAGCCACAGGGTGTTACACAACATTAAAAGAAATCCTCAGTGGGCATTTTGTCACTGGGGACACATAGAAACCAAACTTTGAGGGGTTGCATGTGGACCTCTTGTTCACTGCAGACTTTATGTGGTAGACAAAAGGAGCTTTCAATTGTTTGAAAATTTTCATCAGTTGCTTGTCTAACAACCAATAACATACCAGCAAATTAAAATTTTAAAGAAATTTACTGTATATAAAAAAGATGGAATGTCTAAATTTTTACATGTCTGTATCACAGTCTACAAAATCATTGCTCTCAATAATAATAATAATTTTATATATATATTACAAAATTCATAAATACTACCAATGAAGAAAATGGCTATGAAACAGTAAAATGTCACATAATAATAATTGTAATACCTTTTCAAGGTTAACATGGGTAACATTTAGTGAGTACAGAGAAAACTGCTATGTTGACCCCTTCATAATTACGTGCTTACTTTATACAATATATAGTCACAAAATAATTCACAATTTAATTCTGCGATAGTTAAACATGTTATTACTAACCTCAGAAAATGTATCACATTTGACAACAACTAAATTAAAAAATAGTAATAAAGTATATATAATATTTGATTGTCTGCTTACAAGAAAACTTCAGAAAAATCTGGCACATTGGCACTGTTAAATTTTGTGCTTCTGATATCTTTACATATGCTACTCAAAGCAAAAGACGTAAATTTTCTTTTGTCAAATTGTATAACAACTGTCTTATTATCATAATACACACTGATAGTTAGACAGTTGTACTAACCTGACAACTTACAGGAACACAATACAACACAATACAACACAACACAATACAAATCAGGAACTTACAGGAACTCAATACAAATCAAATATCACAGTTTTATGACAGTTTCTTAACATTTTACAGAGCTTACATCTTTACTGAAAACCAGCTTTTGTAACATGTCTTCAATATTTGATAATGATGAAGAAGTTTTTTCTTCCAGTTTTGAAATTCTGTCCTCCAGCATTTTTAATCGGTCATCAGAAAAGCTTGGACTTATGTTAAGAACTTTCTCAGAATCTGGTACGAATTTTGAACTTGTTTCTTCTGCCATTTGTCCCTTCTCCATAAGGGAGGCTGCTGATTCTTCAAAGAAAGTTGGGTTTGGTGATTTAGAGCGGCTTGATGTACCACGATGCTTTCCTTGAGACTTCTCACCATCTGCTTCATCAACAATTTTTTTCCTTCTGTGTCGGTGCTTTTTGGACCTTTCTTTGTCATTTTCATCTTCTTCTGCACTCAAAGACAGTCTTTCTTCCCTCCTCTTTTCTCTATCTTTTCTTTTCTTTATCCTCTTTATCCTTTTCTTTTCTTTTGTTTCAGCCTCCTCTATAGGGGGTAGCCTACTTATGTTTTGATCCTCAGCAACTGTGCTTGCCTGCTTATCACGTAGTGTTAACTGCAATAATTATAGATTTTAATAAAAAAAATGAACAGTAAGGTTTTACCATGACTCAGTTGATATTCATAACTCCTTTTTATTCAATTCACGCCAATGTGATAATTATTATATGCATGTATTCACAACATAAAAAATGACAGGTACATGAATGATATTTTAACCGTTTCTTTATGCACCATTAAATAGAAGACATTTTTTACCGAATGTCTAAAAGCATTGACTCCCTGCTCCATGAGCTTTCTTTCCCTCAGTGTCCTTTTCCAGTGAGATGCACCCTCAGAAGATACAGAAAAATTGTCCATGGAAATGTTATCTGAATTTGGGAGATCATAATCCTCCAAATCTCTTTGACTCTCTGCCCAGTAGAGCCGCATTTCCTCAATAGCCTTGGCAATATTATCGACCCTAGATAAGTTAAAAATAAAACAATATACTGTATGCATTAAACACCTTTTCTGTTACTACAAAGGTGCTCACTATTAAATGGAAATTTCTTTATCTTAAAAAACTATGAAGATTTATAGATTCATAGTGTAAAAATATAATGATCACTTCAGGCTTTCCCAGGGAAATCTCATCATGGTAATGCTTAAATCATTATCAATGTACTCCTCGTAACTGCTTTTGATTAGAAAAAAATTGAAATGTGAATTTCAGCTGAGTACTAATAGTTAAGCCATGTTCACATAAAAAATGAAATGTATAGACCAAATGACATCACCAGATGATGGGATATTTAGGAACTGTACATTATGTTCAATGGCACACTTAGTTCCATGTAAGGATCAACAACAATAATAGCCAAGCTGCCAGCACTGTTTACACTAAAATACAAATAGGCGTGCAATCTACTTGCCGATCTACAAAAACATTTACTGGTCTACAAAAACATTACTATTGAACATGTTAGTTTATGTTGAAAAAAAGGGTGGAGGAGGTCACACTATTCACATATAATACAATATAATGTTAGTACCTCTAGTAAAAAAAATATTAAAGCATCACTCAAAAACTACCTGTCTTTAATTGTTTTTATAACATTATCAGTTTGAGCACATTCTCTGTCCAGCTGATTCTGCATATGCAGCTTCTGGCACTCTTTCTCAAAGCCCACCAATGCTCTCCTTTGTCTTTCAGTCAGTTTTTGATCTTTTCCTGTGGGTGGAAGATTAGTAGTAGTAGTAATAGTAATAGAAGTAGTAGTATGGGGTGCGAGAAGAAATGAATATATTTACATGTACCCAGCAGCCTGATATACACAGTTTCAATATGTGTGCACATGCTCACAAGATTGGTACCATTTTAAAATTTTGATGCCTATACCCCATTGCTGTTTCCCAGTGGTGTAGATTTAAGCTTTCCACTTAGAATATGCATCATATTTTGCTTTATATTCATAAATTTTGGTAAATGTAACATTAGACACATATTAAACAAAAATTTTCAGGGAAGAGCTGATTACCCTCACAAAGCTGGGAAAGCCAACCAGAATCAGTGGTTAAACAGTGATAACTTGAAGTCGTTTTGTGTCCATTTCCAGACAAAAAGCAGTAACCAGATATCGCTCTTTAATTATTCTTGTTTAATTTTCATGTGATTGCATCATTACATCATTAAATTTCCTCTATGATCACAAGGTCATTGGGCCGAATATGAATGGCTAAACTACATACTAGCTGTGGCTTTGCTGCTGTGCTTTTCTGAAGGAATTGAAACAGGATAGGGTCATAATATCTGTGATTACATGTTCAGATGACAGGATTTCCTTACACCTTGTTGTTTTATGTAAGCAGAGTGTATTTCAGGTATTTAAATCTTGACATTGAACTTTTTGTATAGTTCACGTGTATGGGAGTTCATACATTGTACTGAAGTTGAAAATGAATATGACTGTAACGCACAATAACCCGTTTTCTTCACCCATAAAAATTTGCAACGAGGAACAATTTTTTTGTATTTCTTTAGTTTGTGTGCAGTAATTGATCCCGGATATGAGCAATAAATATGACAAAACTATTCTGAGAGCTTTCTTTTCCATGTACAACTGTAAAACAGACTGGTATGTCTGTGTCCCACATTTAACCGCTGTTTGAGTGTCATTTTCGTGTTAGAAGTTTAAAATACACAGCAATGTTATGAAACACAAGATTGGCTGTTATAATAAGACAAATCCAACCCCTTTCACAAGAAAACACCCCCATTATAACCCAACACAGGAATATTTTGACAGACTTTCAAAGATGATAACCCATTGTTGTTATCCAGTACTGTGAACGTGCACACATGATTGAGGTAAGACACCTAGCGCTCTTGTCTGATATCTTAAACTTAAAAATATCAGATAACTCTTTTGATGGTTGCATGGGTTTCTCATGCAATAATTACCAAAATTAGAATCATATACCCAGAAATGACTTGACCCATTGGCCTTTTGATAAGAATAGCCTTTTTACTTCCTTTTCTTCTCTGATTTAAACTTTGCTCAAGCTACTGATACATGTAGTTAGTTTTATTTGACAGGATAACTAAATTCACTACAGAGTGCAGTGAAGATCACAAGGCACACCATACAATGAAGGTAAGGGTTAGAATGATAAAACAAAGTACACAGTAAAAAGTTTTAGTACTACAACACTACAAGCCTTAGCCTAAGGTAGAAATGGGTTTAATCAATTGAACTTGGTGCAGTATTCAAACCTTCTTTTCACTACAAGTGTCAGCATACTGGGATCCAGTTCTGCCTTTTCCCTGGTTTTCCTCATGTAACTTTTCACTGAGTCTTTCTCAAAAGCTCCTAACATTCGCCTCTGGTGTTCAAGAGTTTTAGTATTGACTAAATTAAAAACATAACAAAAACACAAGCTGAACTTAAAATAGAAAATAAAATGTAACCAAACAAAATGATAATATGCCATGCATCTTGAAATACAACCATTAATAAATTTTAAAGCTAGAATCTAACAAAACAAGTTCACAATGAAAATCTTTAGAGTAATCAAATAAATAAAAAAAACTTAAAAATAAAACGCATGCACATCAATATAAAAGCCAATGCTTTTATTTTCAAGAAGAAAAAATGTGAATCAAAGCATACTGTATGTTTTTTCTTTAAATTATCATTAAGTTAAACATAAATCAATCACAATCAGTAAATGCTTATAACTTCAAATAGAAGTGTTAAATAGGAAAAAAGTTATAAATATATCATAACCCTGTGTCCTTACCCTTGGGTGGCACTTTATGGCAGGTTTTCCTCACTATAAACCTGATTAAGAGCAACACATGCTCTATGAAGATAAAAGGGGGAGGCAGGCCTGGCTTGTCTATGTATTCCATCACTAGGAAATACATATCAAACTTCCAGATCTCTAAGGAGTTTTTCTGCACTTTGTCAAACACAAAACTACAAGAGACAAAAGAAAAGATAAGTTAACTCATTTTCATTAAATAAAATTATTTTTATCTGAAATGCCAAACTTAAATATATTATTATAGTATTTTAGTGAATAAAAAATAATACAAATAATACCTGTTATGAGAAATAGAATGTTCAGCAAAAAAATCCAAAAATTACAGAAAAGAAACCCCAGAAATTGAGTTGAAAATAAACCAAGAATGGCTTAGTTACCTGAAGATGGCAATGAGAAGATTCAGCAGCAGTACATTGCCCACAAGCAGATAGACTGCTAGCAGTATGGGCACAAAGCTGTGGAAGGTGGGGCAGGGGTGCCCATCCAGTGTCACTGTGCTGTTCCCTTCACAGCCAGGCAAGGTACCTGAAACAAATCAATACAATGACTCCAATGAGTTGGATCAGATTTTAATTTCAATACTTGTGTAGTGCAAATTTTTCTCATTTTATATTTTGTAATGTTGGTCACTAATGATGTGTTATTGTTCTAATCCATAGTGTTCGCAAAGATTATTTCAACTGCAGTCTTCCCGCTGTTGTGATCAAGCTCACTACTTTGAAGTTTTTTTTGCTAGTAAAGATTAACATGGATTTACCTTAATATTTCAATATTTGTTCCTTAAAATATTTATTTGGGATAAGTCAAGCCTGTTTAAACATTCACATACCCTGAAGTCCAATCTCATCCAGAAACAGTTCTCCATATATCTGCCAATAAGGATAGTAGAAGATATCCTTCAGAATACCCCAATATGGTTCTCTAGCAGGGAATGTGAGGGCCTGATAGGTCACCCCATAACCCATTATGGCTATTATCAAGATGCACACAAAGATAGACAGCTCAATTACCTGTGGAAAAATAAAACTAAATATTTAATATCATATGATCATAGACATATAAGAAGAAACTTGTAAGTAGCTGACACATAACTTTATTGAATTTCTTTTTTTTATTTTAATTGAAATGGTAAATATCACTTCAATGTATTCAGTGTTTCACTATCTTTCAATAAATATAACCTGAAAATAAATTAAACCATGACTCTGATACAAGCCTGAATCCAATAAACTATTTACACCATTCCCAGTATGTACTAACCATCAACTTAATCATGACCAGCTTTGGACCCAGCACACTGCTGACAGAATAAAGCCTGAGGAACCGAAGATAAAACAGCACACAGTTCATGGCATAGAACAGCTTAATCTGGTCTAACATGCCAGGTATCATGCGGAATATAAATCCCCCCAGGGCCACAACACAGAGGATGATGTCTATGCGGTTCCATACGCTGAAGTTCCACCAGTCTATCAGCTTACGCCCAACGCTCTCCGAGGTGGAGTAGGTCATCTGAATTTCAATAAAATTAGATATTTTTGATATAACAATTATATATATATATACACACACACACACAATCATATTTACATAGTGAAGTTACTACTGAGGTGGAAAAAATCTGTAATCAAAATATCTGGGCCAACCCATCAAATCATGAAATATAATAGAGTAAGCTTCTCAAGCTTTTTCTAATAGTATTATTAACTCATTTTCATACCTTGACCTCTGGCAGTTTAAATCATAAGTCTGTCTTTATATGAAACCTAGCACTTTTGTCTGCTGAGCTAATTAATTTATGAACAGAAATCTACAGCCTCACCATACCTCTCTCAATTCCTCAACTATCATGGTGCTTATCCATCCTATCAGTAAAATCTCCAGAGTGCTGATCTCTTCACGCAAATGAAATAATATAAGGTATGAATAGGCCACCAGGAAGAAAACGTACCAAAGCTGGATATAAGAGAAAAAAATAAAAATTAATGTCTAATATCAGTTTATAATACACTGATGTATGAATATACATTTAGTGAATAGGACATGGTTACTTCTCGTTATTCTCATTTTAGGAATCAAAGCTGTGGCAAGGAAACTAATTCAACTAGAGGATCAGAGAGGCGATACCGCCTCCGGATATTGTACCACCAGCTGGAGTAAGCGCATTCGTATAGACCCCCCCCCCAAAAAAAAAGGGACACCATCACCAGTATTGTGCTTGACAAGCTCTATAAAATGCAATCAACAAGAGTTCTCAAAATATGCCAAAAAATATGAATAAAAATGGTACAATCAAGCAGATTTTCGAACTGACCTGCATTTTCCTACCATTGATCACTCCTGTGATTCTCTAGACAAAAGGCCTATTGGTTTTCCTTAAAATGTGTTGTCAGTGGTGCATATATGCTGACAAAAGAGAAAACCTAGGGGCCACACCGGGCACATCTCTGCTAGTTTTGAAGATATGAGGAGCAAGAAAATATGCAAAGCTCAGTTCATGGTGAAAAAGTAGGTCAAAGTCAATTTCAACATCATAGTATATGAATTTCTATTCAAGTTCAATAGTAACCATAGGCATTTTTTTTCAAGTTTCGCAGATATAAAGGCCAGAAAACATGCAAAAAGCAGTTCATCATAAAAATTAGGTCAAGGGTCAATTTCAAGGTCACAGTTAGATTGCCAGTGTATTACTTCCTATTCAAGTTCAATAGTAACTATGGACCTTTCTCTGCCAGTTTTGGAGATAAAAGGGAATGGAAATTTGCAAAGTTCAGTTCATGGTAAAAAGTAGGTCAAAGGTTAATTTTAAGGTCACAGTGAATTGCCAGTATATGACTTCCTACTCAAGTTCAACAGTAGCTATGGGCGTATCTTTGCCAGTTTTGAAAGTATAAGCATTAAAAAAGTTGCAAAGTTCAGTTTATGGTGAAAAGTAGGTCAAAGGTCAATTTCAAGGTCACAGATAAATTGCCAGTATGTGACTTCCTATTCAACTTCAATAGTAACTATAGACCTATCTCTGCCAGTTTTGGAAATAAAAGGGAACCAAAATTTGCAAAGTTCAATTCATGATGAAAATTAGGTCAAAGGTCAATTTAAAGGTCACTCCTAGATTG